GCATTTTAAAACCAAATGAAATGGAATAAATTATGAATATGGAATTGGTATTCCTCTGGCATTTTCCCCTGGGGCAGCAATGCTAGCAAATATCTTACTGTTAACAAAAACAGCCTCAATGCCAGCAGTATCTGTGTATACAACTGCCTAAAAGTACAGTAGGTATTCTTCTTACAGTTCTTTCATTTTCTTAGTCATAAAACGTAGGACTGCCAATGACTAGATTATGGCATATAACCAAGGAAATAATGACTATAATGATCAACTTTTTATAACTTCATACAGCCTTTCTTACCAGGACCTCAATGTACTTTGTTGGTAAGACTTCTATTTTGTGCAGCATAAAATGAAAAGAAAAAAAATTCATTCATGTCTTTTTCTGGTGGTCCCTAACCAAAACAGCTATAGTAAAGAGTACAGCAGTAACCATGAATGGGACTGGTGTCCTTATAAGAGTCACAAGAGAGCTTGCTTTCCATCCCTGCTCTCCACCATGCTAGGATACAACAAGAAGTCAGCAGTCTGCAACATGGAAGAAGGCCCTCGCCAGAACCTAACCATGCTGGCAGCCTAATCTTTGACTTCCAGTCTCCAGAACGTGACAAATACATTTGTGTTGTTTATAAGTCATCCAGTTTATGCTACTTTTTTACAGCAGCCCAAACGAAGACAAATAGGTAACTGTGACAGCAACAGGGTCTCCTGCCTGTCACTGAGTGACACAGACATGTACAGCAGTGCCTAAAGCAGCATGGATGAGTTCACAGTGTACTCAATGAGTACTCTGAAAAACCAAAATCTAAATTTCTACCTAGTACAGAAGCTGTTCCATACATCATGAACATAGTATAATGCAATCAAAATTTATCTGTCTGAACTGACAACTCAGATTTTTCCATCCCTTTAGAGAGCACCTTTCATATTTATGTCCTCTTCTCTACTTTCTAGTATCCAAATCTTAGTAGGCTTCCAAACTTAGCTCTATCCCGTATCTGTCCTCCCAGATGCATCTGTCCAAGCTGATTTCTCTGAACGCCTTCAGATTCAACCACCCAATTTAGTCTTCATATTCCATTTATGGTTGCATCTGAGAACAGCTTATCACCCTAAACAAACTGTGTTATATTTTACTATTCCTGCACAGTTTCTCCCACAACTGTTGAGTCAATTCAACTGTTGATTCAAAGAAATGTCTTTTGAATAAGGAGAAAGACAGGGAGAGAGAAGCAAAGAAACAGAAAGAGAGAAAACTTCAGACTTAGAAACAGAGCAAAAAAGACAGAGACAAAAATATGCTAAGAGAAATAACTTGACAAAGATATGAAAAGGAGTAAAAAGTTCTGGCAACTGCCTCAACTGCAGACTACATCGCCAATTGCCTATTCCTGCACTAGGTCATTCATTTCCCCAGCCACTGTATCATACTCACAGAGCACTATGATGACCCACCAAAGGATGAGGACATTGTGAATGTTCCCCTTTCTCAGGATGCTTGCCTATCCCACTGTTAGCTTCTAACGAATGATGCACACATTATCTTGTCTGAAACCTAATGCAAAAGCTAAGACATTGTTTGAAAGACTAAAGGCTATATATGTATCTACATATGTACTTGCACACATGTGCAATGTTTAAAGCAATCCCCAAAACAAGAAGGGAAGAGAAATCAACTGGACTAACAAATCTGCTTTATGATCTGCCATAAATTTTCCCAATTCTAAAAACATTATCTGACTATATGGAATAAAAAGCCTGTTCTTACTAAGGAAATAAACAACCTGAAAATAAATTATTTACTGTTAACAAAAGTACCAATGTTATATAGATAAAGGAAACTGCTTTTAGCCCCAAGAGATTCTTATCAAGGGTTTTGATTGCAACATTCTTACTTGAATCAAAACTAGCCTCTATATTAGGTTTCTAGAGCCAAGATAATTCCATCAACTGAAGCCATTTTTGTTGGGTGTCTAGGTGGCTTCTGCATCATTTCACTCAACTCTGATACTAAAGCTCACTTTCCCCAAAGCTGAGGCTTCTTGGATAGTCTGGAAGGTTTACATGACAAAAAAAAAAAAAAAAAAGGTTACTGAATGCTCTATGAGATCATACTAGCTTCGAGTTGTTTTTTAAAAACATCAAGGATGGGCTGCGTGCAGTGGCTCATGCCTGTAATCCCAGCACTTTGGGAGCCTGAGGCGGGCAGATCAGCCCAGGTCAGGAGTCCGAAACCAGGCTGGCCAACATGGCGAAACCCTGTCTCTACTAAAAATACAAAAATTAGCAGGGCATGGTGGTACACGCCTGTAATCCTAGCTACGGGGGAGGCTGAGGCAGAAGAATCACTTGAACCCAGGAGGTGAAGGTTGCAGCGAGCCAAGATTGCACCACTGTACTCCAGCCTTGGAGACAGAGTGAGACTCCATCTCAAAAAACAAAAAAGTCAAGGATAGAAGTCTGTCAATGATGAGGTCTTGGTTTGTTGTCTGGGCTGGAGTGTAGAGGCATGATCATGGCTCACTACAGCCTCCACTTCCCAAGCTCAAGTGATCCTCCCACCTTAGCCTCCTGAGTAGCTGGAAGTACAGATATGCACTACCACACATCTGGCTAATTTTCTCTTTTTTTTTTTTGTATTTTTTTTAGAGACTTGGTTTTGCTATCTTGCCCATGCTGGTCTTGAACTTCTGAGCTCAAGCAATTCACCCACCTTGGCTTCCCAAAGTTCTGGGATTACAGGCATGAGCCACTGCACCCAGCCCATTCCTATTTTCAAAAGGAAAGACTGTGGAAGAAAACCAAGATAGATCACTTGGATAGACTGAATTTAATAGGATCTCCAATTGCATCTTCCCAAGTATTTAGAGGAAGAAGCCAGTAAAAGTCCAGAGTGAGTTTTACTTAATTTTCCTGCATGCGTACAAACAGCATCTAGTTTCTCCACATCTGTATCTTTTTTCATAGCTTAAATGAAACCTTGCTTTCCTCTCTAAAGGCTTCCAAAGAAAGACTGTCATTCTCTCACCTTTCCCACCCCCTACCTGCCCTTTCCTTAAGCCAACAAGTTTCAATGCTAGCCTATAGGCGAATTATGCTCACATCCTCAAGAGTCTGCATTTTATTCTAACTTATATAGCTCCTCCAAGAAATTACATTTTCCTTGTCCTTGTTTTTCATTTCACCACTTCTTTCTTGTTGATTCTTGCTGTAAGCAACCTCAAATTCAATGGTGATTGAGGCTCACATAACTAATTAAAAAATATCCATATAAGACTTCTTTATTGAGATATATAAATTTTCTGCTCTAAATACAATCACCTGGGTATCACACAGACATATCAAAATCAATATATTCAAAATGGAACTTGTTCCCTTGAACCTGCTTTATAGACTCTGTTTTCTATTAGTTAGTGTTTGAATTAGAAACTTCAGCATTATTATCAATATATGCCTCTCTCATACCATCCATATATAATCAGACACTAGCTCCTATTTGGTTATATAACCAACTCTGTTTCCCACTGCCTTTGTTCTGGCTGTTACCATCCTTTACCTGAGCTACCTCAAAAGCCTCCTAATGGGTATCCCTGCACATGGTCTATTTCCACATGACCCCCAAAGTAATCTTTCTAAAAGAGAAACCAACCATGTTCTACTCCAAGCGCCATTCAAGGCCTTGATAACCTCCACTCTGATGCTACTACAGTCTCCCTTCATCCGTACACCAGTCCCCACTCCACAAGTATCCAACATTCTCTATCATGTGTCAAACTGGAAAGTCGCGACTCACTTGGTGCCTAAAATGTTTCCTCCAACTTGCATTCTTTAGTGTCTGATAAAAGCGTTGTAACCTCTTACTCTAGTACCGTGGCACCTGGGCTAAAACTTCTATCACATACACTGGATGCTATCGCAATTATTTCCATACATTGACCCTTCTCAACTAACCCCAAGCTTCTAAGGATGGAAGTTATTCACCCTCTATACCCAGCAATATGGCTGACACACAGTAGTCACTCAGTGTTTGTAAAGTAAATTGATTTCATGCAGATTAGCATAATTTAATATAAAAGTAAGCAAAAATGAGCATCTTCTCTCCTCTAAAGAGTTAACTCAGAGATTATGAATCATCCTGAAAAATCAAATGTACTTGAATTTGTTGTTATGATCCAGAGAGAATAACTTAATTTAAAACCTCTACAACAAATCATTCAGCGGTAAAATAGCAGTGATAGTAAGCATCTTTATAAAATTCATTTATTTAACACATATTTTTTGAGTACTTTTGTGCCAGGCACTCTGTTAGATACTAGAAACTCTGTGCTAGACTCTGGCAGTTTATTCATTCCAAAGTATTTTCCTGTAAATTATCTCATTTCATTCTCACAAACATCCCATGAAGTAGAGAGGACAGTGATTATAATCTCCATTTGGCAGATGAGAAAACTGAAACCAAACAGTTTATGTAACTTGCTCAGAGTCAAAGCCAAAAAGATGCAGATCTAGAACTAAAACAGTTATCTCCTGAATCTAGTCCTGGTGCTTGCTCTGCTATTAAAAATTATTTAGGCTGGGCACGGTGGCTCACACCTGTAATCCCAGCACTTTGGGAGGCCGAGGTGAGTGGATCACGAGGTCAGGAGTTCAAGACCAGCCTGGCCAAGATGGTGAAACCCCATCTCTACTAAAAATATAAAAAATTAGACAGGCGTGGTGGTGCATGCCTCTAATCCAGCTACTCCAAACGCTGAGGCAGAGAATTGCTTAAACCTGGAGGGGCAGAGGCTGCAGTGAGCCGAGATCATGCCACTGCACTCCAGCCTGGGTCCGCCCAAAAAAAAAAAGAAAAATTATTTAAAATCTGTAAATTCTTGCCCTATCACCCTTACCTCCCCTCTGAAGAAGGTATTAACGTTAAAAAGTAATTTTTATTTTGGTCTTAAATGTCAAACTGCAGAAATATGAAGTAGCAGCATCTGCAACAGTCCAAGGCCAGGACTAACCTGTTATCCTTGCACACAGTCACATTATCTCCCCCAGGTATCAGCTTCTTCTGTTCAATCACTCCATAGCTTTCTCGGCAGATCTATATTTAAGGTGGAAAAAAGAAATATTTCAATTTTGTTGACCATTCATCTTTGTAGAACTCAAATGACTGAGAGAGGCTTTAGAAACAAATGTAGTTCCATGACTATTACAGAAAATTAGTGGGAGAATAATGAGAACTTGAGTCAGAAAACATTAGCACGTTAAAAAACATCTTTTGTTTTAGGACATGGAGTTGCCAATAAATGCACTCAAGGAGAAAATGACACGAACTCAAGAATATGTGTCAAGAGTAGGAAGGATTATTTCTTCAATAATTTTCCTAAGTGCATAGATTAATCATTCATTCATTTATTCAACACACTCACTGAACTCCTATAACACTCAAGACACTATGACTAAAATAATTTGATTCAAAGAAGTCCCTGATGTTTTTCTGTGATTTGAAGAAGAACTAATGTAAATTATCACTCTACAGATGGTAAGAGAGACAGCCACAATCTTAAGTAAACTGTGGAAATTCTTACCGTGAAGTTGAGGCAGAAAGTCTCCTCCACATCCTCCCCAGGGTAATCTAAAAGCTCTTGGAGACTCCTAATCATAGAATGACAGAAAAGGAAAAGTGGAAAGTCAGATACTGCTGCAACAGTGTTTCTACTTCAGTTACATGTCCAGATCATTTCCAAGGAAAAACTATGAAAGGAGATTCTGGAATAAACATAAATCCAGATGGACAGAAAATCATGTACCTACACCTTGAAGATAATTATGGCACTAGACCTATAAAACATTCAGTAATTATTCTCTCTTCTTACTGACAAATCTTATTAGACTTGAAAAGAAATTCAGATGGATTTTTAACCTAACATACTTGTGTCCTCTTAACTCTGAAGTAGTTTGCAAGTGTGTGTGTAGATATATAAATGAGGGGATGGTATTGCAGGGGCCTCCAGCCAGCTTCACTGGCTTATGCATTAGTAAAATAATTCTTCCATCAGAAAAAAAAAATTAAAAAAATTTTAAAAAAAGGCACAAAGTCACCACATCCACTTAGGAATTTTAATGGCTTACTTGTTAATGCAGAAGTCTCTATTTGGTAAAGACCAGGGGTGCCCAATCTTTTGGCTTCCCTGAGCCATGTTGGAAGTAGAAGAATTGCCTTCTTCTTAAAATACACTCACACTAATTTTTTTTCAAGAGATGGAGAAAGGAAAAGAAGCTGTATTTGAGAGGTTATGCATCGCACAGGCATATAAGGCTGATACTTTGCATGCCAAATGTGTCCATAAAAATATACTGTCTCTGTGTAATTCAGCATAAAACACTGCTAACTGTCCTTAACAACAACATAATTTTAAAAGATTGATTTCAGACACTCCAAAAATTCACCAGCCAAGAAAACTATCATAGTTGTTCACCTTCTCCCTAATGTTAATCAGCGAAATGAGTTTCTTTTTAAATATTTTTTTCTTTCTTGAGACTGAAGAGACAAAAATAAGTCTGGTTTTGTTATTAGTACACAGATAAAATATATATTAAAGAAAACACATCTTTACTTTTTTCTTCACCCAGTTAGAAAGGCTTTTATTATTATTATTATTATTATTATTATTTTAAAGTTCTGGGATACATGTGCAGAATGTGCAGGTTTGTTACATAGGTATATATGTGCTATGGTGGTTTGCTGTACCTATCAACCTGTCATCTAGGTTTTAAGCCCCACATGTATTAGGTATTTGTACTAATGCTTTCCCTCCCCTTCCCCCCCACCCCGACAGGCCCCAGTGTGTGATGTTCCCCTCCATGTATCCACGTGTTCTCATTGTTCAATTCCCACTTATAAGTGAGAACATGTGGTGTTTGGTTTTCTGTTCCTGTGTTAGTTTGCTAAGAATGATAGCTTCCAGCTTCAGCCATGTCCCTGCAAAGGACATGAACTCATTCATTTTTATGGCTGCATAGTATTCCATGGTGTGTATGTGCCACATTTTCTTTATCCAGTCTATTATTGATGGGCATTTGGGTTGGTTCCAAGTCTTTGCTATTGTAAATAGTGCTGCAATAAACATACATGTGTGCATGTGTCTTTATAGTAGAATGATTTATAATCCTTTGGATATATACCCAGTAATGGGACAGCAGGGTAAAATGGTATTTCTGGTTCTAGATCCTTGTGGAATCACCACACTGTCTTCCACAACGGTTGAACTAATTTACACTCCCACCAACAGTGTATTCCTGTTTCTTCAGAGCCTTGCCAGCATCTGTTGTTTCCTGACTTTTTAATAATCGCCATTCTGACTGGCGTGAGAGGGTATCTCATTGTGGTTTTGATTTGCATTTCTCTAATGACCAGTGATGATGAGCTTTTTTTCATGTGTTTGTTGGCCACAAAAATGTCTTCTTTTGAGAAGCATCTGTTCATATCCTTTGCCCCACTTATTGATGGATTTTTTTTTTTTTTCTTGTAAATTTGTTTAAGTTCTTTGTAGATTCTGTATATCAGACTTTGTCAGATGGATAGATTGCAAACATTTTCCCCATTCTGTAGGTTTTCTGTCCCTCTGCTGATAGTTTTTTTTTTGCTGTGCAGCCTCTTTAGTTCGATTAGATCCCATTTGTCAATTTTGGCTTTTGTTGCCCTTGCTTTTGGTATTTTTAGACATGAAATCTTTGCCCATTGGCCTATGTCTGAATGTTTGCCTAGGTTTTCTTCTAGGGTTTTTATGGTTTTGGGTTTTTTACATTTAAGTCTTTAACTTTATCTTGAGCTAATTTTTGTATAAGGTGGTAAGGAAGGGGTCCAGTTTCTGTTTTCTGCATATGGCTAGACCAGTTTTCCTAGCACCATTTATTAAATAGGGAAATCCTTCCCTCATTGTTGTTTTTTCAGGTTTGTCAAAAATCAGATGATTTGGTATATATGTGGTGTTATTTCTGAGGTGTCCTGTTCTGTGCCATTGGTCCTATATATCTGTTTTGGTACCAGCACCATGTTGTTTTGGTTACTATAGCCCTTGTAGTATAGTTTGAAGTCAGGTAGCGTAATACCTCCAGCTTTGCTCTTTTTGCTTAGGACTGTCTTGGCTCTACGGGCTCTTTTTTGGTTCCATATGAAATTTAAAGTAGTTTTTTCTAATTCTGAAAGGAAAGTCAATGGTAGCTTTGATGGGAATAGTATTGATCTATAAATTTATAGTACTATAAATTACTTTGGAAGTATGGCCATTAAATAGAATAATTCAAATGTTTCTAATATAAAGAGAAATATTTAAGGTAATGGATATCCCAGTTACATTGGTTTGAACTTTACAAATTATATAATGTATTATATTATCACATGTATCACATGTACCACAAATAGTATATGTATATCTATTATGCCTCACCAACAAAAAAAGTATAATTAAAGAAAGAAGATACAGTATTTTCAAGGTGTAAAACCCAAGGACATGGAAGGCCAACTTTTCCAATCCATGGGTTCTTCTAGGGCCCCTGCAGGACTTGTGCATATGTGGATTTTGGTATCTGCAAGGTGTCCTGGAACTAATGCCCCTTGGATATCAAGAGACAACTGTACCAATAACACAGGCAATGTTTCAAGCAAGTAGCTGTACAGCTATATCTTAGACAAAACACATATAACAGGGTTTAACCATAGGATGCAATAAACTCAGATTTGTACAGATAGTATTTTCAACCTTTAATCCTCATGCCAGAGATAGCCACAACAGTTTCAGATACCAATCGCCTTTTAGCTTTGTACCTTCCTTCAGTGGGTGACAACTCCTTTAAGTCTTCCAAGCCAGGCTTTACATTGAGTAACTTCTTGTAGAGAGCCAATGGGAAGTGGAGATCAACCACAGTGGAGTTGTAGATAGCTAGTCCACAGGTTATGCCAATCAAGTGAAACCAGTTGTGCTCTACAAAACACTTTTTAGGACATATACAAATGTGTTAAAAAGAAATGCAATGTTTGTGGCCTTCAAACATTCTACCGTTTCCCTCAAAATATTTTCAAAATAAACAAATAAAGGTCTCATTAATATTTAGTTACCTTCTGTAGCAAAGAAACACACTGACAAAAGTTGTTATCCCTTAAAGACGCAATGTAGACAGAGTTAAGCATTTGCACCTAGTGATACAGAGAACAGCTCATAGTCATCTAGAGCAGGGCTGTCCAACAGAACTTTCAGTCACAATAGAAACATTCTATTCTGTCAATCTCATATGGTAGCCACTGGCTACATGTGTCTACTAGGCACAGGAAATGTGGCTAGTACAATGGAGCAAATGAATCTTTGTTGTTACTTAATTTTAAATAAATAATATATAAATAACCACATGTGGCTAGTGCCTAGTGGCTACCTTTTGGTATGGTGCAGATCTAGGAAGAAAACTCCCATAGAAAAAAGTGTAAATGACAGTCTGATTGAAATTAAAATGCCTTTAAAAACTTAGCTCTCCTACTGAAGTTTCAAAAATAAACTGTGCATGCATATGTATGTGTGTGTGATACTATATTATCATTGTTATTAAAATCAGACACATTTGATTATTGACCTTCCACGTGTCACGAAACCAATTTATCACACTGTTTCTTTTTACCCTTCTCAGATAATAAGACTTGGATCTTACCTACTAGAAATGGAAATGGGACTGATGGCTCACAAAATGCACTATGAGGTCTTGGCAACAAGTATAAATGAAGACGGGATAAACATTTTAATTACTTATAAACATTTTGAATTATTATCCTTGCTATGTTCCCCTTTGCAAAGTCAGAAATCAGGGGATTGGTCTGACAACAAAAAGAAAGTTTAATCCATCTGTTTAATTGTGACACCACTTACTTACCGTATCTGAAAACCACAAGAGATTTGAATCTTGATAGTAGGTAAACATTCCATAGATGGGATTCAAAAGTTCTTTTAACAGTAAAAGAAAAAATTCCTTTGTAACACCACCAGCATCCACTGCTTCTTCACCATCAAAGATTACCTTAAAGTAATGGAACAGAATTAATGCTACAGGGAAATCTATGACAAATTGTATCTCTTTTCAGCAGACCATTTTCTAAACTCAGGACAAACGAAGGAAAGTATAACAAAGAATATACACTGATGCAATGAAAACTGCAAGGTATGTCTGTTGATTATTGCTGGTAAAGTTTTAACAAGGTACTTATAGATACACAAAATTTTTACTAGGTGCTTCAAGGGATACAAAGGAAGTCAGAAATTTACCACCTGTCCTTAGAAAGTCTACCATCTATTGGCTGGGCATGGTGGCTCACGTCTGTAATCCTAGCACTTTGGGAGGCCAAGGCAGGCAGATCACCTGAGGTCAGGAGTTCGAGACCAGCCTGGCCAACATGGTGAAACCCTGTCTCTACTAAAAATACACAAATGAGCCTGGCGTGGTGGCGGGCACCTGTAATCCACTACTCCGGAAGCTGAGACAGGAGAGTCGCTTGAATCTGGGAGGCAGAGGTTGCAATGAGCCGAGATTGTGCCACTGCACTCCAGCCTGGGCAACAAAGAGCGAAATTCCGACCAAAAAAAAAAAAGAAAAAGAAACTCTACCATCTGCTTACGGGCAGAAAGACAGACATAAAAGCAGAGAATACTTTTTATTTTTAAAGAGTCAAATATATAATGAGAAGTAAATATTCTGGCACATAGAAAAAAATGATTTTTCATTTAAGTTGAATAAAAGAACACTTTCTGGGAGAAATCACTCTCAATAGGGTTCTTGAAGTAACTGCTGCATGTAGAAGGGAAGAGGGTATTGTAATCAGACACAGACATGGGCTCTGTGAGGGAGTGGAAGTAGGCATGCTGGATACATAATGGTTATTAACAGTAACAACTACAGCAAATCAACAAATGACATGGAGTTTACTACATGCCAGCTCTTAAACTCTATTAACCTAATCCTCAGAACAGCCTTATGCGTAGAGTCCTATTATCCCCATTTCAGAGATAATGACTCAGGCACAGAGCTAAAAACAGCATTCAAAAAGCTTACACTTGTGGCTGTCTTCAAGATTGCCTAGAGCAGGACAAGAGTAAAAGTGGGACAGAGACTAGGACCTGGATTACACAGATGCCAGCAGAATACTGCTACAAAGCAAGAACTGCCTCACCTGAATTACCTATTGAAAACAGGGCAAAAAGAAAAGCTGTATCAAAAATATAACACAGAAGTTCTGGGGAGAACAACCAGGCAGATTGATGTGACTGATGCTACTGATTAGGAATTTTGGAAAGGATAAATTATCGAGCATTATTTACCCTTTATGGAGATGATCAGTTCATTTCATGCCTATTACATTTCTGAAAGTGGAACTTATAAAAAGATTAGCAATAAGGATATGGAAGTTGTCTGAGGGAAAAGATGAATGACTTTAAACAATTTCAAATAATTCACTAAGTATTTCTAGAATACCTACTGTGTACCAAGCATTATGCCAAGCCCTGGAAATATGCATGATCTATGGAGAGAGAAATTTTTTTTCATTTAATAATTTGCAGGTACTAGGTGTGCCTCTCATAATAGGCCAATAGCTTCCCAGATGATTTTACTACCTTTCCATTTTCCTATTTTACCTTCTTTCTCTTAAATCTTTGATATCCACAATCTTCCTAAATGATAGCTTCATCGTTGTAATTAGTCAAAGCTTTCGTTTTTGTTGATGTTTGCTTGTTTTTGATAGAGCTGGAACTGGTACACCAAAGACAGCAGAAGAAGACAAAGAAAGCACTCTAATCTTTCAAATAATCCACTGGCATTTTTATCCAATGTTACACTGAGATGTTCTGTTTGGTGATTTGACAAAAGAAGGTGATTCAATTCTTGTAAAATGAATGAAAGAATGGCTACACCCCACAATTTTAGTAATTTCATTGCTGCTTAATCAACACTGTTTGAAGAAAAATTGTGAAGGTATTTAGAGGAATATCCTGAAGGAACTCACTTTGAGAGGCTTTTTCAAATCAATATCAGAATGAATGCTCAGCTCTCTTAGGGCATCTCCAACAAGGTTGTTCCTGCGAACGTGAAGGACCAGGAAGGGGCTTCTGGCCAGCAGAGGCTCCAGGGTGAGAAGCATGAAGACATTCTGCAGGTTGGCTCCATTGACTGCCACCTGGAATGGCACAGTCAAGAACACAGTTACTCAGAGCACACACGTGAGTTGGGAGAGCAGTCAGCTGTGCTTCTGGACTTGGGGGCACTGATTGCACCTCCATTTGGTTATTTTTTTCCCTCTTAACTTCCACAGATTTTCTAAGTTACTTATGTTTACGCAGCACACAAGTCTTTCTAATCTGGACTCACAGAAACTAACTAAAACAGTTTATGAATCATATGATCTATAACCAGGTCCAGGAAAGTGACTTAAACCAGTTGATTAATACTAAAATAGTATCATGTTTAAAGAAACATGGTAGAAAGTGGGTGAAAACCACAACTTTCAAAATGACAGGAAAAGAAAGCTAATAACCACTTGTTAAAGAGTTATTCTTTGAAAAATTTCATTTCTCTTGAAAACCTCTAAACTGTCAATATAACAGATACAGCAATATGAAAACAAACACATATATAGATAGATGCAGTCAGAGCTGGAAAAAGACAGACAGGCAGACAGTCAGAGAGATGGAGAGGGAAAGATAAATGAAGTTATATATCTATATCTACCAACAGTAGGAATTGGAGGATTTGAGCTGCTAATTCACAAATGTTTTTGTGGCTTGTCAAAATCAATTATACTTTATAATAAAAATGTGTATTTAAAATAAATTATTAAATAAATCTCTATAACAAGTTTTTATTCAACGAAGAATTCCCAAGTTCCATTTAATTCTCTCTCTCTGTCAGGAGTCAGCAAACTAAGGCCCCACATATCAAATTCAGCCTGCTGCCTGTTTTTGCACGGCTCTCGAGCTAACAATGGTTTCTACTTTTTTTTTTTTTCCTGAGACGGAATCGTGCTCTGTCACCCAGGCTGGAGTGCGGTAGCATAATCTCGGCTCACTGAAACCTCCACATCCTGAGTTCAAGTGATTCTCTTGTCTCAGCCTCCCGAATAGCTGAGATTACAGGTGGGCACCACCACGCCCAACTAAGTTTTGTATTTTGGATAGAGACAGGGTTTTACCATGTTGGCCAGGCTGGTCTTGAACCTGACCTCAAGTGATAAGCCTGCCTCGGCCTCCCAAAGTGCTAGGATTATAGGTGTGGGCTGTGCCTGGCACGGTTTCTACATTTGTTTAATGGGTGAAGAAAATCAAACGAAGAATAATCTTTCACCACATGTAAAAATTATATAATATGCAAATTTCAACATACATAAAGTTTTGTTGGAATATAGCCATGCTCATTCATTTATATATTGTCTATCACTGCTTTTATGCTAAAATAGAGTTGAATAGTTGTAACAGAGACCATAAGGTCCCCAAAGCTTAAAACATTTACTAAGTCGTCCTTTTGCCAATCTCTAATCTACATAAATGTGTATCCACCTATGTGTGTTATATTCAACACAAATTACTGAAAAGTTTCAAACAGCTTTAAGAATTATAATGGAATTTCAACCAAATATGTCTTCTCCTATTAGAAAAAATTACAACTGAATGTCTAGAAAGGGAGAAACACATTAAAAAGAGGAAATAATTTCTAAAATATAATACCTGCATCTGTAGTTCAGCATCTGTCTGTAACATTTTGGTCTTGGCTTGGGCATCAAAGATGAAAGGGTAGGAACAAAGTGTTACAGTATCCTAGAATAAAGCACATTACTGACAGTATTATACTATTCCACAGAAAGTATAGCTGGAAAAATATAAAAGCAAATTTAAAAAGGATCATTTACCTGTATTATTGATGGTCTAGCCTTCTGTGTAAAAAAAAATAAAAAGTCTCTTATTTAAATTGTAAAACCTGAATTTTAATCCCTCCAAAAGTAAAATATAAATAACAAAACACAGAACCAACCTGACTACTGGCCATAGAACTAACACCATTTGAATGGCTGACTAAATTTTAAGGGAAAAGATGTTTTGATGGCCACAGAATGAGAAAAAAGAGCAAAAGCAATTAAAAAATATTTTTTATGACCTTTAAAGGGCATGTCACTAACTCTCCACAATTCACAGCATTAACAGAATTCTCTTTTATAAGAAATCTAATTCCAAAACAGGAGCTTTATAACCTTGACTTCACAGGTTAATTTTTGTTGGGTAAAGTGGACAATACAAATTACATTTTATTTGTTAAATGATGTTGCATCTTCCTACACACACACACACACACACACACACACAGAGAGACACACACAGGCTGCTACTCTCAGGAGAAACCAAGTATTTGGAAAGAATTTCAGGTGCTTCTAAAAATGACTTTATCTAGTAAACTGTTGCTGACTCAGCACTTAGACTAGTACTCGGCCTACAGAATGCATTCCATCGATATGTGAATGCACCTGTGAATAAACTTTGGAGGGGAGTAATGGTAAAAATCCACAACCACAATGAAGGACATCTAGGAGATGAGTTATAGTTTCACTTTTTGTTAAGTTGTGTAACAAACATTAACTTAATATTAACTTCATAGAAACAAAAAAAAAATCAACAATATATGTCACGTTGATCTGTAGCAAGAATTACCAAACACAAAACCATGGGTGTATTCTCAGAGATCTGGGAGTACTCTATATATTTCTTAATGATATCCTAAACAAAATTAGTAAAACACATTAAGTTATATTTGTTTGAATAACTGCATTGGCATCATGTTATTATTTAATTGTCCAGGTGTAGTGAGAAAAGAGAGAAGCAGTCTTGGCAGGTGGATGCTGCATCTGCACCTAAGAAAAGGCCAATGCGGTCCTGGCTTGCTGCACACACATGATTTAACAGCAGTTGAAGGAAAAAAGAGAGGTGAGTCATCCCAGCCAGATGGGCAGTGGAACTCAAGCACCAGGGCCTGACAGCACGCAGGCCACATCCACAATGCAACTGGGGTTTAGGTTCAGTAAGATATGTTTGATCATCACATAAAATCAATGAGGCTAACTGCATTTTATTGCTGTTAAAGTTTTGCTTATACTTAATTTATAAATTTGGTTTGGTTTTATAACTGTACTATATCAGGACCATATGAATAAGCAGCATGTGCCTCCTTTTGTCCTTATGGATATTTAAATACAATAATTTAAAAGCAATTTTAATTAAAATCTACCCTGTTAACCCTTTATAACTAGGTTCTTCCAGGGATCTTGGCACATTTCTCTAGACAGAGAAACACTAATCGAAGAAACAATTCCAGTCCAGTGAGATCAGGTATGAAATCCTGCATATATCATCCAGACCAATCTTACTCACTCTCATGCCTACATATCCAATTACTTTGAAGTTAGAAATCAAAATGACTAGAAACAAAAAAACAAAACCACACCATAAAACAGCACTATACAAAAAGCTAAATCATCTTCTAGTCTAGGTACCTACAAAAGATATAAGCATCCTGGGAAAGAAAGCAGGCTTAAAACTGGTGCCAATATTCAGAATTTCCTCATCTGTTTCTCAGAAAAGATTAGTTTACGCAAAACATTATCTGCCTATTCTCAAGGGAAAAGAAAGATCTTGAACGTGTGTTGGTCTATAAAGCAAGATAAAGATTTTAGATACTTCAAATATAAAAGTGACTGTGGAAGAAGTGATAACACAAAACAGTTCTGGCATTACAGAGTCCGAGCCTACTTAGTATTTTTAAGTACATACTGGCATTTTAGTTGGTGTAATGCAGTTATTTCAGACATCAATCAGCAGTTTTTTCTGTATTCCTTGGCTCTTTCCAGTCCCACTCCTGTTCTCTGACTCTCTCTCCCCACCCTGTAATCCCCACCCCGAGCCTCTCTGCACCCCTTAAATATCCACCTTCTGCAGCTCGTAGTCCCTCTCAGCATCCCTCACCTTACTCCTTCCCACACCCCAGAGTTGAAGGAACCCAGTTTTGGAAGCAGGTTGATCTCTCCACTGGAGAAAGGGAGGAGTTAAATTGAGGGCAGGGTCACCATTCTCTCCATTGAGAGGGATGGCTGGAAAGAAATCCAAAACTGCCTCAGTTAGGAGCCACAGCCAAAGCCAGAGAGACACTGCCCAGAGCTGGTGGTCTAGAGAAGGTCTCAGGTGAGCCAGCAAGGCAGGCAGGAAGATACGGAAGCCTTACAAAACAGAAGTGACAGCTCTAAGGAAGGCAAAGGATGGAAGGGTATTCAGTCAAAAGAAGCTGCGAATCTGTAACAAACGTCTGCTTATACATCCACAGACTTTTCATAAGTCTGTAAGTTTTTGTATTTTATATATAATAATTTAATTTCATTTTTATTCTGTGAATGCTGAATATTTTAGAAATCATACTCACACTTGTATTTCCGTATTATATGAAATAAATCTGCATGATTTTGTGCCACTATTGCTATTCATAACCTAGAAGGATGCATATGAACTGATAAGATACACGATTATCTCCTGAGAGGCTACTTGTCTTGGACTATCCATTCCTCAAAAATGAGTTTCACAGACTTAAAACTAGTAAAGTACTAGTGGACCATATTTCAAGTCTCCCTGCCTGAAACAGGGCTGCACTGTGACCTAAGCTCATTTCTAAAGCATATGAAATAGAAGCAACGAATAAGTAAATGGAATAGAACAGAAAAATTGGGAATATCGTTTTTTTAAAATATGAAGTCAATATTTCCTAAATGTGGCTGCAAGTGGGGCAGGAGGCACTACACGCACAGGTGCAGTGCTGGAGAAGAAATACAGCCTCCTCTGCCTCAGGGCCTGTCTTGTCTCACACGTGCACAATACTCATAACTGGAGACAAAACACTGCCTGGCTTTGTCTCCTTTAACACATACAGCAAGATGTCGAGCTTTATCTAGCTTTTATTTTTGAAGGATTAACATTGTGGCACTGACTTTCCCCACTTGTGCTGCCCTCTAGAGGAGCCCACCCATCACTCACTCTGTGCTATTTGGTTTTTAAGTGCAGATAAGGCAAGTTGCTGATTGAAGTAAAGGAACCACTACCACCTCTTCTTTAAAAGGAGTAAAAATCAGCCACTTTAGAATGTTCCTTCTGCACACATGTGTTAGATCCCTTTGGGAATTTTTCACTGCTGCTTCTGGGCTAAACACTCTGCAAAGGTAGACACCATATCCATACATGTTTCCACTCCCAGTGACTAGCAGGCAGACAGCACATATTAGGTGCTCAAGAAGTGCTTAGTGAAAAATAGTTATTGAGGGCTTATTATATGCTAAGTACTCTGCTAAGTAAGGTCTTTCCATGCTTTCTCACATTTAATTTCCACAATCTGTTATAATTCTTATTCACAAAAGAGGATGCTGGGCCTATAGAAATCAGGTAATTTGTCTAAGGCCACGGCCATTAGACCAGAGTTGGGAACTGAACCCAGGTCTTTTTGGCTGGAGCATGTGCTCAACAATATGCTACACAGCCTCAGCTAGTAACAAGCTAAAAATTCCAACACACCAAAAAAAATCCATTTATTATTTAAAAGTAGTTAAAATAAACAAAAATAACATATGAAATAGCTTTAGTATTTTAAGTTAAAATCCAAAATATCAAGAAATTTAAAATTCAATTTCTAATATCATTGTACCTCATACACTAGAAAAAATTCCACAAAAATCACAAAAGGTCATAGACTAATTTCATGTAATTTTCCATATTTCTTTAATAACTATTACAGTCATTGAAAAGATGAGCATCTGTTATTCAAGATCTGATATTTGTTTATCAAATGTTAAGAGAAAGGAAGTTTAAAATATTGTAAAAGTTACTTAATTATCTCTACTCAGAGACTACTGTCATAATAATCTAGATTTTAACATGAGCAACTTCTTCTTCAGGGTAAAAAAGAACTACAATTTGTTAGACTTATTTTATTCAGCATTAAGTCACAGAAAGGGTAGATTAGAAATCAGAAGAATTGACTTCTATTGCTAATGAAATTGGTGGAAAAATTGTTTAAGTTCCATTTCCTCATCTAGAAACAAAGCAGTTGGCCTAAATAATTCATCAGGCTTATTTTACCGCTCATAATGTTATTATTCGGTGAATAATTATTCATAAATTGATAAAACAGAAGGGCTTATTTTTTAATAATTCCTAAATTTGAAAGTGAAAACAGAGTTCATTACTAGCCTTCATGTTAAATTTCCCAAGTCAACCCATTTAGAACACTCTAATTCATTTATATTAAAAAGTATTTTCTTGGCCAGGCACAGTGGCTTACCCCTGTAATCCCAGCACTTTGGGATGCCAAGGCTGGTGAATCACTTGAGCTCTTGAGTTCAAGACCAGCCTGGGAAACATCCCAAAAACCCCGTCTCTACAAAAAATACAAAAAGTAGCCAGGCATGATGACACACACCTGCAGTCCCAGCTACTCGGGAGGCTGAGGTGGGAGAATGGCTTGAGCCTGGGACGCAGAGGTTGCAGTGAGCAGAGATGGTGCCACTGCACTCCAGCCTGGGTGATAAAGCCAGACCTTGTCTCAAAAAAAAAGTATTTTGTTTTCTCAGGGTAATCATAAAATCTTATTTAAAAATAAAACATTGTATGCATTTTTTAAGTCTCTAGAGAAAAAAATACAACATTGTGTCTAGCATTCATCATCCATTATTTGACAAAGAAAACAGTCCTGCTTGTTCAGTTAGATCAGCCTATTGAAATGCCTTGCTTTTGGAGACAACTGCTGACTTCCAAAAACCCCACAGGAAAAATATTGCCCTAATATTGATGATGAACCTGCTACACTGGCAAGGACTCACCTCAAATCTGCTACCCACAAAATACAATAACCAAATTATCATTCTGTTTTCTGACCTAACTCAAATTTGCACATACTCCACAGTCGGGAGATCCTAAAGAGCCTTGCATATATCCCAAGCCAGTGTGCTATCAAAAGGAGCAGTTCCTGCCATGCCAGTGGTTGCAGGCAGGAATCCACAGGTCCCTGAATGACATATCTAAAATATAGTGAGACAGCTCTGGATCAGGGATGTGTGACACTTTCACACATATAATTCTCAATCAGAAGGGGCCTATGGGGTCCAGGTAGCTGACACATGATGACTAAGTAGGCTGTCAGAAAACGATAATTACCAAATGATCCTTCCTCAATGGCAGGGATAAATTAAGCTGCAGTGGGAATTGTGGCATATACATAAGCCTCATCTAAAGAGTCACTCTTGAACTCTGGCCACTTGGTGTCATATGGGAAAGACAAGTCGTATTGCAGATCTTCCAAGTTTCAAGGAAAGCTAAAAATTCATATTTGTATGTGTCTTGGGTTTTTTTTAAATTAAGGTTTAAAAAAACCTAACATAATAGGTACCATCTTAAGCATTTTTAAGTGTACAGTTCAGCAGTGTTAAGTATATTCACACTGGTGTACAACTGGATCTCCAAACTTTCTTATCTTGCAAAACTGACACTATACTCATTAAATAGCAACTCTCTGTTTTCCCCTGCCTCCAGCCCCTAGCAATCACCATTCTACTTTCTGTTTCTGTGAATTTGACTACTTTAGATATTCTGATTTTTAAAAGTTGGCAACTTTTAATGTGTAACATTCTGGGTGACTACTCATTTATGACTCCTTATAACACTGACGATTACTTAAAGCACTTCCAAGTTTCTAGAATGCAAAAGGCCAGCTGGATGAGGAATAGGTGAGACACTGACATCAAAGTCAAAGACATATTATAGAGCTCACATGTGCTCTTCTTATAAAAAGACTAAAGCCTTAAAATATGCTTTATGAATTCTTACCATCCCTGCTTGATGCAAGAACCACATGAGGTAGTCTTCCTGAATGTCCACGAGACTGGAAATCTCAGGAATGTAAAATGTATCATATTCCACATGCTTCACTTTAAGATTTACCTAATGAAGAACAAAATACAAACAACTAAAACATGGCTTCGCAAAGAACATCTCACTAGGATATTTTACCCTACCATCTAATTACCCCCTCCCCACTAGCACCTCCTATGCTCACCTTATATAACTTCTCCAAGAGTTTGAGAGCTGCTGTAATATAATTGTTAAACAGTACGGGAATTAAGAATGTCTTTCTTCCCCTCAGTAGATAAAGGACTGCACCTTTATAGAGGTTTACCAGCTTCATGAAATATTTCGGGCATACCTGAGACCACCAGTTATCTTTAGAAAGAAAGAAAAGACATATTTCAACATGTAATCTTGGGCAACTATTTATGTCTTCTGCCTGCCAGTTAAAAATTGCTTTGTCTAGAAGATAAACATTAGTCTAAAATGCATTTTCCCAAAACTGACTTTAAAAAGAATCCATTAAAACATTTTTGGAGAGAACAGCAGCTGTACAAGAATCCCTGGAGTTCTGGTTTTTTCTTAAAGCTTGGTCTGATTTTTTACAAAGACTCAATCTGAAGGTTAACTCACAAGTCCAATTCCAGACTACATGTGGACAAGAAACACATATTTTGGGCAGGAGTGATGCCCACTGTATTAATCCAAAAAGTATTCTTATGTCCTAGCGCTTTCAGCCACCACTAAATCCTGAAGCAGAAATGCAAAGGATGACACACCCTAGAAGCAGCAACAATACAGCAACCATTCCCTTCCCTTTAAGAGGTATCATTAGTTGAAAAACTGCCATTTTTATTTCTCCCCAAATAATGCTTTCTCATAACCAGACAAGAAAATCACAGCACTGGCTTATATTTCATTGGAAATAAACTCAGCCATACTGAAATATTTAAAGAATGAAATAATATGTCTGAGATTTCCTTTAAAAATACTCCAACAAAAAATAAAAAGGTGGTGAGGGCAAGAGACAGATGAAATAAAATGGACAAAATACTGACCACTGCTGAATTTGTGTGGTGACTACCTGTAGCATACTCTCTACTTTGGGGTATTCTTTTAAATATCAATAATTAGAAGTTAAAAATAAATTAAGTGTGAAATTGAATAATTATGTTCTCTTTGTAATGTCCAGTCTGGAAAAATAAAAATGAAAAAACTCTAAAACTTGAAAGTCAGGTAAGATTCCTTCTAATATTGCCACCTCTCTGTTTCACATCAACTAGAACACCTGAGAAAATGTTCCCCAAAAGGCTTTTGATCTTAAAAAAAATTAAGTACTACCATTTACTAATGCTTTCATTATTATTTCCGTTTTTATCTCTTCTACAAAGGTGGAGACAATATATAAAAGCCAGTATTCCACCTTCAGGAACACAGTCTCTTTATTCGTGGGGAGACCACACTCAAGTAACATCCCAGTCCATCTGGAACACAGAAGTTACTGAGCTGCAATGACACCTAACAAAATTTACCCGGGGGGGAAAAAGTAAAAAGCCAGGTGATAGACTTCCTGCACTTGATTAATAAAAACATTTCAGGCGCTACTCCCATGAAAGACACTCTCCAAATCACTGAGGAACGGAAGGTTTTTATCTCAGCAAAGTGTCCGGAGCCTGCAAAAATCAGTGTGGACTCAACTGTCCTAAAAAAGAAAAACAAAACAAACATTTGGTAAGTCCACACTAGGTCATTTTCTTTCTCTTCTTTTTTGGAGACCTCTGTATCACCAAAACCGCTCACACTTCACTCCCACCCCCTAAATTAGACATAGGAGAAACAGAGACCAATGTACACGAATATTGAGGCCCTATTTATTATAAGCAAATGTGGTACAAAAAATTAGTTTCAAATTAAATAAATTAGGTTTGTGAATATTATAAAATCAAGATTATTCTGGCATGAGTCATTTCAAATAATCTAAATAATGGTTTTATTTTCAACTTGAAAATAGGGTTAGCTAAAAATTAACAGCAAAGCAAAAAAGGTTTTAAGTGTTAAGGATATTAAATGGCAACAAATAGATTCTTGGATCTCAATCCACTGGAGCCAGGAGTCACACCAACAAAACAAATGAGCATAAAACCACTGATATCGAGGTTAGCAAATTTACCTAGTACTTTGCTGGGGTTTGTATCCAGCCGCAGAATGGCCATAGCCAAGGGAATAGTCAATGTTATATAATACTTGGAATCCTGGAGTAGGGGAAACTCGGGTAGTATTAAATAGATTCTCATGGCTTCAACATCTGGTGGTGAGCTTGACAACTGGGGAATCAGGCAACTTTCAAAACTGTTCAAAATCTGTATGAGAGAAAAGAGTAATGAGAAATTCAAACAAACCTGAGATCTAGTTAACTTATCTCTAAGTTCATAACCTATTTGATAGACTCTCCACTCTCATTCATTCACTACGCACTGAGAACCTACTATGAGCCCTACACTGGTCTAGGCTCTCAGGACACATCCATGAAAAGAAAAGCCAAGGATCCCTGCCAGTGCAAACTGTATATTCTAGAGGGGCACTGCCTTGGAAAGGTTTAAGCCAAAAGAAAACAAAAGGTAGGTCTAATTCCCAAAGTAAATACTTTACAAAATTAAGATTTGGAGACTTTCACTTTTTCATCTTACTCTTTTTCGCTTGAAATTGAATTCATCAATACAAAAATGCATTTTTAAGAATGCACTTTACAAATATAAGAAACATACCTGTTCTAGAATCATGGAGTGCTGAGAGTTCATTAACTTCTCAAATAACACCCTAGTTGAGTTCAGGTCAATCCCAGGGATTTTGGGACTCGTTTTAAAATGTTCATCAATTCTAAACAAACAAAATAAAAAAAGTATTTAATAAAAGAAAAACAAAGCAAACACTCTGATAGGAATTATAAACAAGTAAACAAAATACTATGTTCTTACTAATCAGATTTAAATTTGACCTGGCAGATAAGATCCACAAAAATACCGTATTTTGCATAAATCTCAAAATAATAAACCCAAAATAAAGAATATTATCATTTCACAAAGAATAAACCACACTGGAATTCCTTTTACAAGAATTTTCAAATTTTTAAATCTGTTTTCCTTCAAGTCAAAGTACTTGCAAGGACTGTCATGTCAATTTAAGGCTATCTTGAAGTTTATAAACAAAGAATTATTTCCCTGATTTCGTATTGTGTTTTTTGGTTTTCTTTTCTGTATTTGTGGCTCATTGAACTAGATGTAGATGCTGTTGCTTGGGGCAAATAACATCCCCTGTGCAAACTGGTGCACTCATTAACAAACGACAGTAGAACCTCCTTGTTGAAAACCTTTCTTACCAAAGTATTTAAAATAAAAATGATCTAGAGTAAATGCAAAGTTAATGTCTCTCATCGTTAACACAAAGGATACAATTACATTCACCCAAGGACTAATTTCATTGCTACTATTTTTAACTTTCTAGCAACTAAATCTTTTTTTAACCTTAAATAAAATCTTAGCATTTTTGAGACTTAGAGAATATCTCATATATCCCGCTCTTGAACCTACCACATCTGTTAATTTACAAAAGAGCTATCTATTTGCAAAGCAGCCTTCTGTTTTTGAGTAATGGACACATTCGGATGATTTGAATACACTCTGACTGCAATGTTACAATTTTTGAAAACAAAAAAGAGTTTCTAACATTTTAAAAAATCGTAATTATATGTATTGAAACCCCTATGGTCACATGAAGAAAATTGCTTGTACTTTGTTTGTTGGGTCTTTCGTTGTTGTTGTTATTATTTTTAAAATAAATTTGCCCAAAATATACAAATGAATTCTGGTTTCCAGTATGTAATTTTCCATATGCTCACAGATACTTTTTGCTATGCTGTTGAGAAAACAAAAACAAAATGTTTTGTCTATATATATTTATTGCTTTGTAAAACTGGTCTTCATTTTGATTGTTTTCCTGTGATGCATCCTATGTAAACTACAGGAGTAGACTTTCTGAAATGTCAGTTTGAAAAAAAATAAAAGGCTTTCTCCACAACTCTATACGAAATCTGTGATACTAAGGGTGAACAACCTAACAAGTCTGGCCAAGAGCCCTTCCCAAATGTCATGAAAGCTATCCATCTAGAACAAGGTTTCCCAACCTTGGTACTATTGACTTTTGGGGCCAGAGGATTCTTTGCTGGGCAGGTGGGAATGAAGGACGTTTAGCAGCATCCCTGGGTTCTACCCACTGGATGCCAATAGCAAGTCCCTCCCCATTGCACCAACCAAAAACGTCACCAGAACCTGCCAAATGTCCTTTGGGGAACAAAATCAACCTGGCTGAGAACCCCTGTTCCGGAAGGCCAACATCAGCATAATCCAGAATATCTTTCCCTGGAGGAAAAAACTAATTACTAAATATGAAATGAATTGTGTGAGCTCATTCCAGCTGCCTTAATTATAAAAGTAAATGACTTTATAATCTCTAAATGTAACCAAAGAGAGTTTCTGAAGTGACCTCCTGCAACCCAGTTAGGGACCCATTTACAGCGAGGGGGCGATGATGGTTGAATTTAGGAGTCAACATGACTAGATTAAGGAATACCCAGGTAGCTGTTAAAGTATTATTTCTGGGTATGTCTGGGTCAGTTTTCTGTAAGAGATGGGCATTGAATTAGTGACTAAGCAAAGAAAATCCATCCTCATCCAGTGTGGGCAGGTACTACCCAGTCAGCTGAAAGCCCAGACAGAACAAAAAGGCAGGGCAAAGACAAATTCTTTCTCTCTCTCTTCTGGAACTAGGACATCCTTCTTCTCCTGCCCTTGTACATCAGAACTCCAGGTTCTGTGGTCTTTGCACTCCAATACTTACACCAGGAGCCCCCACCCATTTCTCAGGCTTTCAGCCTCAGACTGAGAGTTACACCATCAGCTTCCCTGGTTCTCAGGCCTTTGGACTTGTACTAAGCCATGATGCTGGCTCGCCTGGTTCTCCAGATTACAGATGCCTATGGCAGGATCTCTCAACCTCCATAATCAGGTGAACCAATTCCCGTAGTAAATCCCCTCTCTCTCTCTCTCTCTCTCTAGATAGACAGATACATCCATCTATCTATTTATCTCTCTCCTATTTGTTCCATTTCTCTGAAGAATCTTGACTAACACAGGGATCGAGGGGTAGGGGTGGGATTCACACACAGAAATGAAGTCTAATTCATCTTGAGATCTCATTAGCCTGGTCACTGGCAGAAAAGGACTGAGAAATAATTAGGACTTGGGATCACCAAAGATCCAAACCCATGGTAAGACCCTTTTGCTGCATCAGGTTCCTGAGGGAGATATTTGCAGAAGGGGTAAGACAAAGAAAATAAACATTCTATTTACTACTGGGGAGGTCAACCTCAAATATAATTCTCTGGTGAGCTGGGCTGGACCTAAATCCAAGGAGCCCATGAAGCCTCCTTAGAATTACTCCCTAAATTCACTCCTTTTGAGAGAAAAAAATTAAAAATAATAATAAAAATTTTAAAACTATGGGAAAGCAAACCAAAGAAATCAAGAAGATTATATGAGGAACTAAGAATTTAAAATTATGACACATCTTAGAATACTCTGAAAATCTTACTGAAAGAGATACAGCCTCTCTCGGTAATCTGCTTTTCTGCCATTCAGGTATGAATCAGCATTGCTCTTCCTCATAATGGTAATGAGATGTCCTCTCATTACCATTATTAGGCATTCCAATTTTTGTGCAAAGCATCAGCTTACCCATTAAATTAAGGCCAGCCACCATCAAAGAGAAGAAGAGTCTTTCACAGCCTTTGCCGAGTAAGTATTTGCATCACATGTGGGGTTTTAATAAACTTTTTTTAAAAAGAAGGGGCCTCACTATGTTGTCCAGGCTGGAGTTTAGTGGCTATTCACAGGCATCATCATAGCATCCTAAAGCCCCAAACTCCTAAACTCAAGCAGTCTTCCTGTGTCAGCCTTCCAAGTAGCTGAGACTACAGGTACACATGAGAGTTTTTAAAGGCTCTAAGTCACTTACTTTTTTTCAAGAAAACTTCCATTCCAACAGGCTGCAGAAGATAATATCTGAACAACACCACTGCTCAAAAAAAAGAAGGGTGGGGGAAGCCTTTAATAATTACAAATAAATGGTTATTTAAGCATCAACAATAAAGTAATCATTTACTCTAGGATTTAATTAATAGCAGTTCTTTCTTAGTCAGCTGAAGCTTTCGAAAATGTGCATTTGCTTTAGAAAAACAGGATGTCATATCTCAAAAGGAAGAAGAACTTAAGTTTTCCATGTTAGGAAAAAAAAAATATCAAAGCTCCTGAAAGAACACCTCTTGTCCCAAGAATGTTCTTGAACATTTTCCTACCACCAAGCATCTAAGAAGTGCCCTATCTAAACTCCAAAGAGAAACACAGAATAAAACCAAAAAAGAGAAGCCAAGTTGTTACTTCCCAAACACAGAAATTATCTTTGCAAATTAATACTTGAAAAATTACTTCTATTTTGCCGCATATCTGAGATGGAAATTAAAAAATAAGCGAAACAAGCACTTATTCCCATTACCTTCTATTATACAGGCTCTGGGGAAACAGCTAATTCTGAGGACCCAAAATGAAACTGGACATCAGGAATCCTGGGCCTTTCCATTCAGTGCAAGGAAAAGGGAAAGAATAACACAAATATATGCCTGGGGAGGGGATTACAGTAGTTTCTGTTAACCACATAATTAGATCAGGAAAGATCTTTAAAGATCATTTCTTCCATCCATTCATTTTATAAATAAGAAAACAGACAACTAATGGTAAAATGTCACAGTTTCCCTTGCTGGACCCCAGCTAGCCCTCATCTCCTCTCCCCTGCTACCCTTCCAGCCTGAGCTCCTTGGCAGAGCCATCCTATGGTGAGAGATTCTGAAGACTGCCACAGAGCTGCTCTAGGGTGTTCCTAATGCTCTCTTGCTCAAAAAATTACTAGCTCAAGTGCCTCAAAGTTTAGAGTCCTGGTCATTTGGCCCACTACAATCTATGTCATAATGCAGGAACCATTATGTACGTTTCTGGGGATAACCACAACTTAGTGCACAGAGCTTGATTTACTCTTCCCAAGAATCAGACTTTGCAGAAAAAAGTGGAGAGGCTGAGGAAAGCCAATGAAAATGTGTAAAAATGTGCAAAGGAAAATTATCCTTTAAATTTAATAAAAGGTCTCAATCCTACTTATTTTTTTTTTCTACCTGACTCTGAATTACCATCTCAATCATTTTGAATAGGAAATTGCTAGAAATTATTAAGATTAGGTAAGATAACAGCTGTCTCAGATTTGGGATGTTTTGGAACATGCATACACTAAAACCCATGGGAGTTACACAACCAGAACGCTAAGCTCTCTTAGCAGAATCACCAACTCAGGCCTTCATCAGTCGGGATTTTTAAGATATTACAATGAACTAGGCAGGTTGAGGCATATACTGTGTGTAAGAATTGGGGATCCACCCATTATGTTATTTGGGGCTAAGAAGATCAACCCTGAAATAGTAACAACAAAAAAAAAAACCCACAATTCCCTAAAATGCAAAACCCCATTTACATTCACAGTATCAATATGCAAGTAGGGAAAATCACACTAAGCTAAGAAGTTAAGACATACTTTGTAGAAAAAAAAAATGAAGACAAGCAGCCACATACTTGATTGTATTTGCATTGTTGTGTTCTGAGAGTTTTTGTCTCCAAACCGCTATGGTTTCATCATTTATTAAACTGGTATAATGTGCTTGGTTCATAGTCCTGAAGTCAACAGCAGGAGAAGAATTCTGGAGAATTAAATGTAACAGTAAAAAGAAGAAATTACGTAGCATGGATCTTGTCTCCTCTCCTTTCTCCCACATATTCTCCATTTTATGCTTCACTTATGATCTAAATGTTGTGGTGTGCCACCCAGATCCCCTCCACCCTTCAGAATGGAGGCTCCTGACAGATCCCAGCTGGGCTGCTGTCCAGGACTTGGCGTTGACTGTTGCCTCACTATCACATCCAATGGCAGGTAGAGGCATGGTGCAAAACTCCAGTCCCCGGCCGGGCGCGGTGGCTCAAGCCTGTAATCCCAGCACTTTGGGAGGCCGAGACGGGCGGATCACGAGGTCAGGAGATCGAGACCATCCTGGCTAACACGGTGAAACCCCGTCTCTACTAAAAATACAAGAAAATTAGCCGGGCGAGGTGGCGGGCGCCTGTAGTCCCAGCTACTCGGGAGGCTGAGGCAGGAGAATGGCGGGAACCCAGGGGGGCGGAGCTTGCAGTGAGCCGAGATCGCACTACTGCACTCCAGCCTGGGGCACAGAGCAAGACTCCGTCTCAAAAAAAAAAAAAAAAGTCCAGTCCCCTTGCCTCAACTCAGGACTGGCTGAAGGACCTCACAACTTCAGTGCTCCTCATGGGACTGGCTGAGGCCCCTGTTACAACTGATCTGCATTTCAGCCCCTCCCTCTGCCCAATCCCGCCTCCTTCATCCCTCAGTAGATGTTCTTCTAGAGGGCACTCTCCCAAAAACCTTTGAGTCTCGGGTCTGTTTTCCGGAGAAACCAACTCAGTACAACTTTCCCAGCCCTCTTTCCCCTTTGCTTTGAATCACTGTAACAGCAGGTTTTTAAGGTATTAGTCACCTGCCATAAATGTCCTCCAAACTTCAACAAAATGTATTACAAAAGAGTCAGAGTTCAGTTATAATCTATATGACAAATAACCTATAAAAACAATGACTCTTAATTTCTTGCTTCAAGTATATAGCTATTATAAGAAAAATGGCAGAAAAAGATGTCAATAATGTATGTCCTTGAAAATTCCAAATGCTGCCCAACACTGTGCATCTTTTATTCAGTGAGATTAAAGAAAAAAAAAAAATAAGCACTTTCCTTTTCTAAAATTGCTTGTTTTCAACTTATTTTCCCCAAACCTTGTTCTTGATCGAGAACTAAGAAAAAGTTGATGGTGCTTTATACTCCTTGTCTCCAGTTAAGAGGAAAAAGGTAATATTAAAGCACTCATTTATCAGCTCATGAGATCATTTTTTTCTCCTTTGTACCTACACATAAAAACAAAACTTTCAAAGTAAATTTTCTTGGTTACTTTCCCATAGCTTCAAGTTAAGGTATCATTATGGGAGGAAGGAGTAGAGCATGTAATAAAACAGATGCCTGACAAAGTTTGTGATCATCTGGTTATTGATAACTATTCTACTAAAATGTCCACAGATATCTATGGAGAGAACAAAAATCATCTTGAAGTACATACAAGGAAGTCATAATCCAAAGCAGATGCTGGAGTACACACACAGATTGTCTTTCTACCTCATTTTAAAACCATTGTTGTTGTGTAAATTTTATTTATTTCCTCCATTCAAAGGGGCAGCTGAACATCAATTCTAACACAAACCTACAAAAAAATACAGACTTGGAACTAGTTTCTCAATCCTCATCATATGTCCAACAAACCAGAGATGCCTTGGGTGAAGCACAAGTTCAGAATCACTTAAAGAACCAAGAAAAAATATCATTCTTCCCGTCTTTAATATATACAGGCAAAAAAGGAAAAATTGCTCTTAGGTCAGTGTTTCTCAACTTTGGCTGGACTTTGGATCACCATGGGAATGTTCGATAATCCTGATGACCAAGTCATACTCCAGACCAATTAAATCAGAATCTCTAGAGGCATCAGTATTTTGTAGAGCTCCCAGGTGATTCCAGTAGGCAGCCAAGGTTAACAATCACTGTTCCAGGAAAAAGATTATGAGATAGACACACACACACACACACACACACACACACACAATTGTAACACACACACACACACACAATTGTAACAATCCCAACCACATTCCCTCTTCAACTCTATCCAGGGAACAAAATGAAAGGAAAAGGAGATGCTATGGTTTACATTCACTAAATTCCCAAGACCTAGAATCAATGCAGCAAAGGGGTATCTGACTATAACTCCTTCCCTCCCTTCTTTCACCTAAGGCCTGGCAGTAATGAATGAGTCAGCCTTTTATAAAAATAGAGGCTGTGGCCAGGCGTGGTGGATCACGCCTGTAATCCTAGCACTTTAGGAGGCTGAGAAGGGCAGATCACTTGAGGTCAGGAGTTCAAAACCAGCCTGGCCAACATAGTAAAACTCGTCTCTACTGAAAATACAAAAAAATTACCCAGGCGTGGTGGTGGACGCCTGTAATCCCAGCTACTCGGGAGGCTGAGGCAGGAGAATCGCTTGAACCCAGGAGGCGGGGGTTGCAGTGAGCCAGGATGATGGCATTGCACCCCAGCCTGGGTGACAGAGTGAGACTCTGTCTCAAAAACAAAACAAAACAAAACAAAACAACAAAAAACATAGAGGCTGTAACTATACAGGTGCTTTTTCTTGGTTCTTTAAGTGATATGGTAACAGGGTAAATATATGATTTGATTGGCCTCTGTATCTAAATAATCATCTCTGGTTAATAGTTTAAGTAAATGTGTATAGGTTTCAGTTTCTCTCAACTCGTCAAAGTCATTCTCTGTCCAGCTTTTTAAGAGTAACATCTTCTTAAGTAATGTTTACTTTCCTTTTTTTTTTTTTTTGTGATCTTATGCTATGGGTACCTCTCCCTCTTTCCAGTTGTTTAAACTTTAACCTGTCCTGTCTCTCTAATAGTATGCTACTTCACTTCCTTCTCATCAGCGTGTTGTTTTCCAGGCCCAACAGTGTTAATTACAATAATAAAAATCAGTTACATATATCAGATACTGTATTTATAAAAGAAAACTAAGTTTCATGTTAAATTTCACAGGAAACTAAAGTTGGATACTATTACTCAAGTCAGTTACTAGGGGAAATAAATACTTAAAACTCTACTACCTATTGACAAAAACTGATTATCTTCCACAAAGTCAGTGCCTTTTGTATTTTGTTATATTGACATCTTGAAGAAACAAAGAATAACCTCAGCTTTCCTCAGGATTTCTCTCTAACACACACTCTGAGGCTGGGTCTAAAATAAACTGCTGCTAAGGCAGCAGTTCCAAATCACGCCAGATGGCAGCACTAAGCCACCTTCTTCAGGCACCTGACCTGGAAAATAGTTCATCATCAGCTTTAGCTGTCCAGCCTACAGCCTCAGGTTCCACCAGGACCTTTTCCAACAGAATCATAGAACCAGAGTGACTACAAGGCAAAAACTTTGTGTACTTAAAGATAGCTAAGTATCAAACTAATAGAGAAAGTTTCCAAGACTGAAAGAGCCCCTGGTTTCCACAGTTGTTCATTTTCTTCCTGGTCAATTCTGACTCCTTTATCATCACTAACAGCCCCTTCCCTTGCTCCTCCAGGAGAGCATAAGCATCCATGCACCACTCAGAGCTGGTCCTGTTGAAATGCTTGCTGAATAAAAGCAGGAAGGGTGGGGAAGGAAAAGAGAAAACAGGAAAGAAAACACAGGGGAAGGAGTGCAGCACTGACAACAAATCTGTGCAGCTGTTTTCAGACTGAATTCCCCCAGCAAGGAAGAGTGGAAGGAATTCGAACCCTGTCACAGAGTCCTGGATCCACACTCTACCTTCAAGCAGAAAGACAATGTCACACTGTCTTTATCCACTACAGTGATGCGGGAGACAATAGAAGGGAAATTTTGGTGTCACGTCATGAGCAGATTATAAATAACAAAATACATCTGAAAATTGTGGTATCTCTTACATATATATATATATATACACACTCAATCACATCAAACAAAGAAACCCACCAAGTTCTCAAATACCTAGCATTTGTTGCCACTTAACCGGGAAGAAAAGAAATGGAAAATCAAATAATGCCAAAGTAAGTACAAACTCCCTAGGCATCCTTTACAGTGTTTCTGGAACAAGTACAAATATAAATAAATAATTTCAAATTATAAATTAGAACTCCATAGTACCAGGAGAACTGTTGGCACTTCAAGGGAGCCAAATGGAGACAACTTCTTCCAGATTTAGTTTGTTTATTTTAGAAATAACATAAGATTGGTAGAAACAAAGAGTAACATTGCTCTTTATGTTGCAATTACTTGTTAAAACAAATATTGGTTCACCATTATTCCTCCCTGGAAATAAGAGTCACAAGAAAAATTTTACCTCATATTTGGAGCAAAGTACAAAAGTTTGGTCTCCTCCAGAGAAGATCTGCTTAACGATATGATATTTAAAGCGATCTGTCAAAAAAAATTCCGAAAGCATATTTTTCAATAATTGAAGTTTCTCCTCGATCCCCTTTTCTACTGTTGCAGAATACGCTTCAGAGTGGGTACCTATCCATTTTAATTGTGTCACAGAAGTAAGAAATCTTCTCCCCTGGCTCACTGCCTAGGACTGTTTCTACTTCAATTAAAAATAAATATATAAAATGGTATCCTCCACTCTAACTCTTCTTCTGCCCCTCCCCAACTGCCAGCGAATCCTGACCTCGTTTCTCTTTTTCATTCTAACTCTGGCATGCCACTGACCTGAAATCTGAAATGGGCACTATCCTTTACGGTAACAAATAATTTAGCATGTGAGTGTGGTGGACCCACGCCCCTTCAGGATGAATCTTGCCGTGGAAGGACCTCCATTTCCTGCTCCCTGCTTCACCTCCCATTACACTGTGTCCATGGCGACAGTCTCCTACTACCACGTTGCCTTTATTTCTAATACACCACACTATTTCACATCTTGGTGCCTCCCTCCTCTACTGTCCCTGGCACACGGGATTCTCCATGAATGTGCCCACCAGGAGCATAACCTGAATGTGCTTCTGGAGCTGCACCTTGGTGGTGCTCACACCAACTCCCTCACAGTCCTCTATACCTGGCTAACTCTAAATCATCCTTCGAGGCACAGCTCAAACTTCCTCTAACCACAATACTCCTCTATGCCTTCCTCTGTGCTCCCACATTACCAAGAGGGTTCCTAAAACCATGTCATTTACATAACTGACATTTACCTGCTTATGTTATAAAATCATTTTGGCAAACATCCAAGCACAAATTTAGGACCATGGAAGTCAGGTTATAATTCAACTTCAAAAATTTGCGGTTTCAAAATAACCAAAAAATACCTGAGTTGGTAAACTTCCTAAATAAATGTATTCCACGTGTGAGTACAATGTCTTGGAGAAAAGAATTTACAACAGAGAAGAGGACACAAAGCCAGTCTTTTGCTTTTGGGAACATCATCCAAACAAAATCTTGTTTCTTTATATTTTAAGCTGCACTACATTTCAGATGCTCATATATTCATTCCAAAAACGTCTACTGAGTGACAAGTTCATGCCAGGTCCTGTGCTATATGCTAGGTTTACAAAAAGGAAAAGAGTTTGTCTGTGTCCTTGAGTTTCTTATAATCCAGTACTAAAATTTATGATGGTTACTGTTTCAAACAAATTCCTGATCAAGCCATAAGTGTGTCACTTTATCGACTTCAAAATCAAAATTAATTACTAAATTACACTTCCTTTTAATGATTCTCTAGCTCCATTTCAGCCTCAGATTTATTATTTCAAGGTGAAGCAGTCATTCAATATTAATGACTGCCTTACTTTGATTTCCAGTGAAACCAAGACTGTTATTTAATTATTTTTTAAGGGAAGAAAAAAAATGGCATAAAAAGAAATCACATCGTGTTATGTACCAAAACACAAATAGCAAAGTAGAGGTAACATAGTACACAGGATTTAGAATGACCTAGGTTTAAATCCTGCCTCCAGAATCTATGTGATCTTGGGCAAATTACTTGACCTCCTTAAGACTTCGTTCCTTATCTCTAACATGGGGATAACAACCACTAACTAGTTCTTAGGCTATTTTGAGTCCTTTGCATAGTAATGAAACATCATTAAGCATTCAGTACATGCAAACTATCATTATTAGCAACAACAATAAAATGTACACACCACCACCAAGGTCTGTGAAAACAAAGTAACTGGTAGAGTTTGAATGTATGTTCTGGTCAAAACTCATGTTGAATTGCAGTAATCCCCAATGTTGGAGGTGGGGCATGGTGGGATGTGTTTAGATCATGCGATCGGATCCCTCATGAATGGCTTGGGCCCTCCCCTTGCTGAGAAGTGAGCTCTTGCTCTGAGTTCACATGAGATCTGGTGGTGTAAAATGTATGGCACCTCCCCTCCACTCTTTCTCTTGCTCCTGCTTCTGCCATGTGAAGTGTCTGCTCTTTCTTCGCCTTCTGCCATGATTGAAAGATTCCTGAGGACTCCCCAGAAGCCAAGCAGATGCCTGTATCATGCTCCCTGTAGAGCCTGCAGAACCGTGAGCCAATTAAAACTCTTTTCTTCATAAATCACCCAGTCTCAGGTGCTCTTTATAGCAATGCAAGAATGGCCTAACACAACAGTATTTCCTGCCTTATTTATTCTCTACGATCTCAACTATAAAGTTTCATGCATAGTAAGTATTGAAATTATTAATTGATGTTTAAAAATACCTTATCTTCATTCCCTCCAAAAGACCTCAAAGTAAGTAACAGATACATATTCTGTGAACAACTGCTTTCATCACTTAAAATACCATTAAATTCCAGAGACGATCATCCTTACCAGCTCGGGCTGAAAGCTGGCCACTGTGGGCGGCCCAGTAACCCTTGACAGGAGATGGGCACTTGACATTACAAGTGTGCCCAGTTCCTAATTGACCTCTTGCTCCACAACCAAATGCATAGATGAGTCCGGAAGAAGGCACGAAGGCTAGGGTATGTTGTCTGTGAAAAAATAATTTAACTCATCAGCATAGTTTCTACTAATGTGGATGTACACTCTGACTCTGACTTTTAACTTCCACATGTGCACAGCACAGGGTGCTCCTATAGAGCCTTCCCCATGTTAACACGTGATTCTTCTTGCAGTGGCTGCTCTCCATACTACTATCCTTCTCTAATACTCTAGATCATGAGGAGGGCAGCAAGTCAGCAAAGAGCTGAATGATCTGCTGCATGTGGCCTCTGAGATGAACGGAGAGAAGCAGGGTAGACTCAGGCAAAAATTTCCAAGTTGTTCTTTGGGACTCTCTTATTTTCCTTTCTTTATCCCTTCCCCACATCCTGCTACTCTTTATCCCAAAAGAAGCCTAATGTCTCCATGTTGCTCTGTTTATCTAAAACCCTTCCTTGCCACACTCTACCAAGGTCTTTCTCCACATTTCACCACAGGCATGCATGCAGTTAAGATCTCTTAAAATGACAGTCACTAGGTATAATCACATTCTTCATCACTACAAGATAAGACCCATTTCTGGGTCCAAGTGAATACAAGGAAGCTTTGAGGAGCACTCACCTGCCACAAGCAATCTGAGTTACTTCACTACCCATCAGTTCTAGAACTCTTCTAGGATTAACCTCATCATTCATGGAGTCATGTCCAAGTTGCCCACAGGAACCAGCGCCAAAAGTAAACACACCTCCACTCTAACAAAGAACAAACACCATATGACTTCACTGTATCCTTAAGGGTACACCTCTAAAACCTATATACAAAATGCCTATCACAACAATGTGCACAAGAGCACTACATTCACTTGACACTTCACCAAAATCACTTTGTAAGGATGTTCATTAAATAGAAAAATAATAAAAAGGGAATTTCAGACTGCATCTTTATGGAACAAAGATAGCACTGCTCAAAGGAATGTGTGCCTTCTGTAAATTTTAAAAATTGTTTAAAAGTACAATGATATGTTAGGAAGCAAAATTTATTTTTTTTTTTATTATTTCTGAATTTTTATTTATTTTTTATTATTATTATACTTTAAGTTCTAGGGTACATGTGCATAACGTGCAGGTTTGTTACATATGTATACTTGTGCCATGTTGCTGTGCTGCACCCATCAACTCGTCAGCACCCATCAACTCGTCATTTACATCAGGTATAACTCCCAATACAATCCCTCCCCTCCCCATGATAGGCCCCGGTGTGTGATGTTCCCCTTCCCGAGTCCAAGTGATCTCATTGTCCAGTTCCCACCTATGAGTGAGAACATGCGGTGTTTGGTTTTCTGTTCTTGTGATAGTTAGGCAGCAAAATTTTAAAAAAGGAGAAACAAGGAGCTAGGATAAATGAGATGATTTTACATATCATTCACATATAAGAAATTAAGTGCTCCTACAAATTCCTTGGTAAGTAAGCTGTTTTTTTTTAACAGCTGTATTTAAATAATTTAAATAAATGTTAAGGCATTTTATGAAAGTGAACCTACAATAATATTTGCTCAGTATAAAAATACATTTTCATTCTCTCTAGAATATATTTAGAAGCAAAAGAAACACGATTATTTTAAAACATTAAATTGCTGTTTCTTTTTTATATATTTAAATGACTTGTTTTAAAGGAACATAGGATATATATACACACATGTATCTACTGTCCTATATTTTAAAGTTATTTATATTGAACTATTCTTAAATGTTACTAAGACACTCTACAAGATTACCAAAGAGGATAACAGAGACATATAAAAAAGTAGTCTTTTTCTATTCCTTTGGAAAACAACAAACATAAAAGAGAGCATTTGAGTTCAAGCCACAATACTGTAATCACACACCATCACTACACTAAAATAATCAAGCAATTCTAATTACCCATCTTATCCCCAGCACCAAAGAATACTCTGAGCTCCTTACCTTTGTAAGAACTGCTGTGTGTTCTTCTCCACAACTAATATAGACAACTTTTTGTGTGCGTAAGAGTTTTACATGGCATGGAGACTCTCGATCTAGAATAAATTAAATATCAGAATATCACTACCATTTGACCTTGAGATGAAATACGCACAACTATCTTGGCATGAATTTTGGATTCCTGGATTCCTGACACATGTTGTTTCCTGCCTGCATCTGTACTTGGATACCCAACAGACTTCTCAGTTTTAATTTACCAAAAACCTACCTCGTGGTTTCCCTACACTCTCCAACCCTGCCCACTCTCCAGCTCACTTTACCACACACACATAGTTTTCCCCATTTCAGAAACAGTCATTTTGCCCCTCCAGCTGTTTATTTATTTCAAACCACACATCCAGCAGTGAACAAAACCAACTGGCCTCCTCTTCAAAATACATTTAAAATCTGACTTTACTCCCACAACCTCCACGTTGGTCTTCCAGCTTCCCCCTTGACCCACTACAGCCAAAGCCAAAGTGGATCACACCTCTCCTCCAAACCCTCAGGGTCTTCCCCTGTCACTGAGAAAACCAGCTAAATCCTCACCCTGCCCCTCAGGGCCCTGCATAACTGGGTCTACACGACCTCTCTGACCTGCAGCTGTGCTACTCTTCCCCTTCTCTCCAACTACATCTCTTCCCACATGAGCACCTTTGCACACCCGGTTCCCTCTGACAGAAATGTTTTTTACCCAGACATCTACATGTCCCATTTCCCACCTGATTTCCTACAGGTTCTGCTCAAACATTTTCTTATCAGAGGGGTCCTTTGTAACCACCTTATGTAAAGCAGGAAGCTGCACTCTCAAACCCTGTGTATTTACTGGTTTTGTTGCACCTCCACTCACTAGAATACAGTCTCCACTAAGACAAGGATGTTCTCTATTCTGTTCACTGTTGCTCCCTTAGTATCTCACATGGGGCTAGCACATAGTAGATCCTTAAGAAGCATGTGTTAAATGAATGTGCTTTTAAACTAAATACATACATATGAAGGGTTTACCTACCTTTTTCATCACTGAGCCCCAGCTGCCCTGCATTATTCATCCCCCAGCCAAAAACAGCTCCTGAGAGAGACAGGGCAAAGCTGTGAGCCCCTCCGGCAGCCACCTGAGCCAGTGGGATCCCCTCCAGGGACCTCACCCTCTGCGGGCTGGCTTGAGAGGGGAACTCCTTCCCTAAGCCAAGCTGCCCATGGCTGTTCTTTCCCCAGGTGAAGAACTGGCCATCTGAAATAACAGGATAACTGGTATTACCATAAAATGATACAAGCTCCACACACAAAAATAATCAAGTTATTAGGGTCATTTGCCAGTTGCCCCCCAATACCAAACCCACCCGAGAGCAAAGAACAGAGACACTTCATGCTGTCAGACTGCCAAAACCCAAACTCCCAAGTGATAACAGAGAGGTAAGCTGAGACTTACTGCCCTTCAAAGGCTATTAAAATTTATACACAGAAAATATTAAATGTATAAGTAAATTCAATTTCAAACAGGCCAATTACCAGGCTTAAGCAAGATCAACTAGTTCTGACCATACTAAGACTATGAGACCCAAGACTTCAGGAGGCCCAGCTATGACCACTTGGTCTGCTCTGCAGATAATCAAGCAGGACACAGAAGTGCAGATTTATTTAGGTTTCTCCAACTCCTTTTTCATTTATTTGGGAGCTTGATAGTGGAATGTAGCTTGAGAGTTGGCTGTCGCTAAGAAAAATCAATCTTCTCCATGCTCAGAACACCTAGGTATGGTCCTGCCCCCTGCTCATCTTCCCCTGTGAAAGTTGGAGCAGCAGTGATGACCACCTACTTCATCATCCACACCCTGAGAAAAGGATGAGCTATGCAAAGCCCATCTGAGAACTGTCACTGTCCAACAGCAATGCATAGACCCTAACCAGTTAATTCAAAGTTTTGAGTTAGATAATATCACACAAAAAGACAAAGAGAAAGTTTTCAAAATTAACATAGTATTAGCATATGTTTAATGTTACTTTACCAGCCGCAAGAGCCAAGCAATGCCAGTTGCCACAGGAAACTTGTAATATTGTTTGCTGGTTCAGCTTTTGTATTAACCTAAAACAGAAAAGCCTTTCTTTTTCAGATAGATATTCACACACAAACACAATTATCAGAAATATTCCCAACTAAATAAAATATCAATAATAAATAACATCATCTTGCCTAAAAGTCTTTTTAAGGCTGGGCACAGTGGCTCACACCTGTAATCTCAGCACTTTGGGAGGCCGAGACGAACACCTGAGGTCAGGAGTTTGAGACCAGCCTGGCCAATATGGTGAAACCCCATCTCTACTAAAAATACCAAAAAAAATAGCCAGGCATTGTGGCACATGCCTGTAATCCCAGCTACTCGGTAGGCTGAGGCAGGAAAATTGCTTAAACCTGGGAGGCAGAAGTTGCAGTGAGCCAAGATCGCACCACTGCACTCCAGCCTGAGCAACAAAGCGAGACTCTGTCCCCCGTCCCACCCCCTCAAAAAAAAACTCTTTTAAAAATCAAATATATAATCTTACATGATATAATTCTATTAGGTCTTTCATCAGCCTCCTGTCTCTTAGGTAGTTACTGTTTAAAACAACAACAACAAAAAAACACTTTTGCATTTAGACCCATTGCCACAATCCTCCATTATTTCTCACCTTGTCTTCTTCAGTTCAGGGCCAAATGGAAAGAGCTACAGAAGAAAGATCCTAAGAATATGGTTGGTGTCTATGTGGCTTTCAAAATAACAGAAATGCCACCATCCAAAATAAGTGAAATGTCAATTTCACTTCTGGGTATATACATACAATATGGTACACACACACAACAGAATATTAATCAGCCTTAAAAGGGAAGGAAGGTCTGACACATGCTTTTAACATGGATGAACCTAGAGGACATTATGCTAAATGAAATGAGCCAGTCACAAAAAGCTGAAACTGTATGATTCCACTTATATGAAGTATCTATTGTAGTCAAATTCATAGAAATCAATTTTGCAAGATAAAAAAGTTCTAGAGGCCGGGCGCGGTGGCTCATCACTGTAATCTCACCATTTTGGGAGGCCAAGGCGAAAGAATCGCTTGAAGCCAGGAATTCAAGATCAGCCTGGGCAACAAATCAAGACCCTGTTTCTACAGAAACTATCAAAAGCAGCTGGGTGCGGTGCCATGAGCCTGCATTCCTAGCTACTTGGAAGCCTGAGGTGGGAGGATCATCTGAGTCCAGGAGTTCGAGGCAGTGAGCTGTGATCACACCACCACACTCCAGCCTGGACTACAGACAGAGTGAGACCCTGTCTCAAAAAAAAAAAAGGTAAGAAAAAAGAAAGTTCTAGGGATTGGTTATACAACAACGTGAACATATTTAACACTATTGAGCTACACATTTAAAAATAGTTAAGATGGTAAATTTTATGTTATGTGTATTTTACCACAATTAAGAAAAATAATAAGAGCCATGCCTCCAAAACCCGAAATTCCTAGGATGGTAAAGAGAAGGGTCACATGATTTCTTTTCAAATCTTACTCCCCTGCTTGTTCATGTGAAAGAGACAGAACAGCACCTATTTTAGAGTTGTGGCGAGAATTAAATGAAAAATTCCAGTTAAAGTGCTTGGCACTACCCAAGAAAGTTGGGCACCCTGGGAATACCTCCTGCTCTCTATTTTAATAGTTGACAAGTTGTCACGTTCATCTTCCCTAAGTGTATTGTGCCATGGAAACTAAGGGGTTGGATGGATACCCCTTGGAAGAGGGGTATCTTTGAAGATAGATATCCTCTGGGGGAGAGGACAGAGGATTATTTAGATCGACACTTAGATAATGCTTTTGTTCATGTTTTATTTTCTCAGATATAAAAATTTAAAATAGAGTTCACAAACACATTTAGTGTTTAGTACCAAATATAAATGAACTTTTTTTATTCTTATAACTGCAGATTCATGTGCAATTGTAAGAAATAATATAGAGAAATCCCTTATATACTTTGTCCAGTTTCCCCTAATTATAACATTTTGCAAAATTACGTATAATATTATATCCAGGATATTGAAGATATTAACATTAATACAATCTACCAATCACATTCATATTTCTCCAGTTTTACTTGTACTCATTTCTGGGTATTAGTTTTATCGTGTAAGTGTATCCACTCTGCCACAGTCATGATACCAAACAGTTCCAACACCATGAGAATTCCTCATATTAAACTTTTATAACCACTCCTCCCCTTCCCCTGTTCCTAACCCCTGGCAGCCACTAATCTATCCTCCATTGAGAAAATGTTGTTATTTTTTTAAATGCTATATAAATGAAATCGTACAGTAGGTAATCTTTTGGGATTGGCTTTTTTCACTCAGACTAATTCCCTGGATATTCACCCAAGTTGTGTTAATCAATAGTTTATAGAACAGCACTATTTTCTAAAATTGAAAAATGCATTACTGCCTAAGAGACCAATGTTTCTCAGGTTGCTATATAGCAACAACCCTTTTTCCTATCAAGTTTACACTCAAATTCCCCATCACCATTACTCTTGTCACTATCAGTTGTAGAAAAGAAGCAGGTCAAAAGAACAAAGATAGATAATAGAGAAATTGTACCCTTGAGGTAGGGAAGAGGGGGTTCACATAGTGCAAGCACATACTGTATTTTACCTTCTTGTCTCCTTCCATCCTCCCCACAACTCTATAAGGTACACAGTAAGTAATTCCATTTTTAAGTTAGGAAACTGAGGCTTAGAAAAGTTAAACAACCTGCCCAAGGTCATTCACCTTAGAAGTAAAAGAGCCAGTATTAGAATCCAAGGCTTGTTTGACATCAAAGCTATGTTACTTTCCACAATACAAAGGTATAAATTAATGAATTTATTTCAACTAACTTATAATAAAAAACTATATACAAAGTCTTGGAAGTCATCCATAATTTGAACATAACTAAAGAATATTAAGCTACTACTGTAGCACAGATTACTTCATTTTTAAAAATGAAATGCCATTAAAAACCTTAATTGTGTTTTGGTCATCAACAAATGAAATATTTTTGCCATTAATGTTATGAACATTTTCCCTAATATTACACACAACATAACATCTAGCACTTCTTTTTTCTTACTGCCACTCTTCCTCTCCCCACAAAATTAAATTAATTTTTGGAAGAAATGAATCTAAGACACTACCTGTCCTAAATCAGGAAATGAATCAAATCACTCTTACCTCCATGTTCTTATTTAACACAACTTTTGATTAAAGAGACAAAAATCTAAGAAGGGCAAGAAAGAAGAGGAAGAAGAATATGCTGTCCTTTAAAGGGGACAATAATTAGGCAGAGGAGGAGAGGCCACTTATTAAATTTGTGCTGAGCAATGTATGTGACAGGCACTCCTAGCAATGGTGATGCTAAAATAAATCATCCAATTATCCTGCCATTAATAGCTCACATCTTTGTAGTAAAAACAGATATTAAATCAACAATTACAAAGAATGTGTTCCACAGTAGTGGTATATGAAACATTTGTAGCATAAAGGAGTAAGAATTAAATAAAGGAAATAAAATGGCAGCTCTTTGATCATTAAGAACCTCCAACAAACTGAGACACCACCACTAAAAAGTCCATCTGAAAGTAACTACAATATTTGGGATGTTCTCTTAGTGGCAACTATTAGATACTTAGCTAAATCATCTAAGGTTCAGATTTAAGTAAATCTTTAAGAGACTCAAAACCTACTGTATTGATACTTTTACATTAAAGAATCTATGTATATCTGGTATTTTAGCTGTTTGTAATGCTTAAGGTGATTTGGCCTATCATTAGAGTAACAGGTCAGCCTTGTGATTCTATTTTAAAGAACTTAATTGAGTAATTCAGACTTGCAATTTTCAGTCAAAAGCTAATAAGCCTACAATGTGAAAGATGACTTTTTTATTCAAACATTTATCAATTGCCAGGCGCTCAGCTAGCAACCAGGCTACTAGAATAAATAAAGTACAGTTCCCAACTGACTCACATTTTTGAACCAGAGACGGACACTTCTATAAATAATTGCAACTTTTGTGACAAGTGTTTTAAAAGTACAAGGCACAGGAGTGGCACAAAGGAAATAGCAATTAAATGAAGAAAACAGAAGAAAAACAAGGAGTCTAACAAATCAACAGCAGGAAATAGTATTTAAAACGACTGACATTTGAAAACCTTCTTACCTGGGCACTGCCACAGAATCCTCAGTAGTCATGAGTCCTAGCTGACCATCACTCCCTGCACCCCAAGAAAACAGCTGGCCTCGGTCACTGAGGGCCAGACTGTGGGACTCGCCGCATGCCACATGAATGATATGCTGATCTGCCAGAGCTCCAATTTGTTCTGAAAGAGACAAATTGGAGGAAGAAAATGTACAACCCAGAAACAGGAATACTGCTGCCATTACACAGGATTATCTTCCTGGGCAGTTTTATTTTTTAACAAGAACCACTTAATCTGAATATTTATAGAGATTATAAATTTCACATATTTCTAAACTATCGATTTACATTTGGAGTCCCTGGGTAACATACATAACTATAGTAGCACACACATCCCAGATGTTCCCTGAACCTATACAGCCATGAGCCTGGTGTTTCTCTATCCAAGCAGAAGCCTGTACTATTTGGAGATGTTCCATCCAAGAGGCCTAAATGTTGAGTGGAAATGAAACATATCCCTAAAACTAGCGGGAGTGAGCGAAACCCTGCCTGGAACAATGAGACCCTCTCCCCCCACACACAAACACACCCAGAATTCTAAACAGCTTTCTCCCCTCAGTTCTGGAACCCAGTCTTGTATGTATACAGTGAGGAAATAGAAGGATTTCTCTCTGGGAAAACTGGCCCAAAAGACAAGACCCACAGATAGTGACATTTGTGTGTTCCTCAATGAAATGTCCAGCTTCCCATCAGTCAACAAGAATCACCCACACACACACACAGCTCCACTCACATTTTAGCACCTCACCCTTAAATGTAAAAGGCCAGACAAGGATCACCCTATGTGTGAGGAAAACTTAAACATGAAAAGCAAACAGCAACATAAACAGAAGGAAATGAACTCTGAAAAAACAGATCATGCAGGGAGCAAAGTTTCTTAAAAGTCTTTTGAGAAATCAAAGAAGATATTTCCACTCATGAACTAGAAAGAGAGTGCTATAGGAAAGCATTATTCAAAAAACAAACAAACAGAAATATCTTGGAAACCAAAAATGTGGTACCATAAATTAAAAAAAAAAAAAAGAAAAACCTTCAAAAGCAGGATTGAACGTTAGAAATGAAGAAATTTTCTAGGAAATAGAAGAAAAAAGCAAAGAGAAAATCAGAAGAGGAAAAAAGATAAGAAATTAGAGGATTGTTTCAAGAGGTCGAATATCCAGAAAGAGAATGGAGAAATCACAAGATAAAAATATTTCAAAAAAAAAAAAAATCACAAGAAAATTTCACACTGAAAGGATCTATTAAGTGCCCAGAATAATGATCAACAAAATATCTACTGTAGAACCCTTCATCTTGAAATTTCAGAATAACAAGAAAGAGTCCAAAAGTTTCTAGAAAAGAACATGTTTATATACAATAGAACAGGGATCAGAATGGCATCATAATTCTCAGAAGCAACACCAAAAACTGTAAGACAATGAAGCGATGCCCTCACAGTTCTGAAGGAAAGTAACATTCAAGCAAGAATTCAATACCCAACCAACTGTGAATGAAATGTGAGGCAAGGGGAGCAAAAGGGATGTTTTGGAGCATGTAAAGCTCTCAAAATATTTTACCTCCCATACTGGTTTTCTCAGAAAGCTACTGGAAGATATGCCTCCAAAACAAGAACTCAGGATTTAGGAACCAGGAATCTTACACAGACAGGAAGGAGGTGAGAAACCTTTCTAGACTGCTGTGTAGCATGCCTACAAAGCAAAGGTGGAGGGATGTCTCCAAGGTGAAAAAGAAAATGCTATTAGAGCATTACGAGTTTTATAATTCTACCAGAGATAGAGAGGTTACTGTGGGAAAAAAAAAAAATTAAAGTCATTAACTTCAGGAAAAACAAAATGATTTATGAGAAAGAAAAGTAATCATGGTACATGCAATCATAATAACCGAACAAAAATACTTTCCATAGTTAATAATTGTCAAATTTTATTTAAAAGATTAGCTATTTGGGGAAGGACAAGTGTCTGGTGGTGAAGAAGAGGAAAGGGTGGGTAGAGAATATAACAGAACTCTAATCTTTGCCAGTGTGAAGTTTCCAGATTATGTCCAATATTGAAAAAAATCAAGAAATAATATTATAAGCATGTTATGTAGAAACATAAAGGTAAGCAGCAAAAAAAAAAAAAAAAGCTAAAGAGTTGAAATGACAGGGAGTGAGATTCAAGATAAGGACAGGTGAGGCAGGGAACTGTTATTTAACCTAAACACAGTTTGCATAAATATATTCCTTCAAAACAATAACACTTTTTTAACTGAAAATATGCTCATGCCAGAGAAATTACCATAATAAACAGAAAGATTCTGTAATTCCTGTTGTTCCCATTGTCCATCTTCTTTAACTTCTGCTCACTACTTACTTCCCAACTCAGCCTTGCACCAGGCACAAAGAATAGTCCTATCTTTACCTTGCAAAAATGTAAGGAATGCTATCAAAGGAGCCCAGGTGGCTCAGACTCCACTCTAACCAAATTTCCACCTCATACCAATTCCAAGACTTGGAAGACTTTTCTGTTCTCTAGGCCTGGGACCTAGCCTGATGCCTTATTCATGACTGAGGCCTGTCTCTTGGTACCTAACCTTCCTGCTACCTTAACTGTCTGAATGTTAGTATATAGCCTAACACAACACTAATAAGTTTCCCCACTATCCTGACACTGTGGCTCTGATCCGTCTGCCGTTTTCTTTCCCTCAATCTCTCAACAGCATCCCTCTCTTGATCCTGTCTTTACTACAGCTGAGTAGCCTCAAAAGGGAACATCTGGATTCCAATGACCATTGACTCCCAGTCACGTCAATCTCTAGGCAAACCAATTCCTGTCCCATCACTCACCAACCCCACCTGGGCTCCTTTGATAGCATTTCTAACATTTTTGCAAGGTAAAGGACTATTCTTTGTGCCTGGTGCAAGGCTGAGCTGGGAAGTAAGTAGTGAGCAGAGGTTAAAGAAGATGGACAACGGGAACAACAGGAAATCCAGCTACCCTCACCACAACAATAAAACCTGTAGCCACAAAGGCAGAAATACTGTTCAGCAACCAAATGTTGATGGAGAACCAAACCACTGGTTACACAAGTCTAACTTATTCTATTTCTTCTAGCCAGAAAACTGTGCTCGTCTAATTCAGGCTGGAGATCCGTCACTGTGGAACTCTAATCCCTCTTCTAGAATCTACCCCCAGGTCAGCCCAGTGTGCTGATGAATGCCTCATTCACTCCTCTCTCTGAATACACCCCTGCCCTACTTGGGAACATTCAGGCTGCAGTGCCCTCTGATTCATTTTCACATGCAGTCTCTTCTGATTCATTCCGTCAAGACTATACACTATATTTTGCAGATCATGATGGAACCTCAACCCACACATTAAAATAACTAAACACACTGAAGAAGCATTTGGTATTTCTTGAGGATAAAAGCATACTTTCTCTCTGAACCTTTCACAGCAACATTTTAAAGTCTTTAGTAATGTTTTCAGTTCTGAACAAGTCATGGTAGGTAGGGCAGCACAGTGGCCAATGTGGAGCGCTGCTTACAGCAAGTCAGCAGTTCAGCTGGACTTGCATTATTAGGGTTAGTTCTACTTAGCTCTTGAGCCCATCATAATTTTTTAATGTTTTTTGAGTTAATGGTAAATTTGTCATTTAACCACCAAAAGATCGTAACTGAGAAGGATGATATGAGTCTAGGGGGTAAATGGATGATGCAGATTCTTAAGCCTTGCAACAACCCTGTGAGACAAGGGTACCACAGCTGTCCTCAGCTCAGAAAGAGGATGTAATTTGGCCAAGGCTCACAACTAATGATTGGTGGAACTGGGATGGACACCAGGTCTGTCTGACTTCAAAACCCATTATACTTAACTAAGCTATATTGTCTTTCCTCATGGAAAAGAATTACATAGATTTTAAATTGGTAAAAGTAAACTATAAAGTGAATACCCTACTTATGGATAATGGAAAACTAACTTTTCCCTCATCGTCTGTTCATATGAGAAACACATCCCGTGGCTTACAGTTAATAATATCAGCAGCTGGGTAGAAAGGACAGTAGTTCTCCCTTATCTGAGGTTTTGCTTTCCAGAGTTTCAGTTACCTGCGATCAGTGCAGTGCAAATATATTAAGTGGAATTTTCCAGAAATAAGCAATTCATAAGTTTTAAACTGCACACCATTCTGAGTCCTGTGATGAAATCTCTCACTGTCCTGCTCTGCCTGGGACATGAATCATCCCTTTGTCCAGCATATCCATGCTGTATATGCCCCCTGCCTGTTAGTCCCTTAGTAGCTGCCTCTGTTATCAGATTGCAAAAGCATAGTATACATAGCTTTTGGTACTATCCAAGGTTTCAGGTATCTAGCGGGGGTCTTGAAACACATCCCCTGCAGATAAGGAGGGACTACTATATACAGTATATACAAAATTAGTGATTAAAAGTTGGCACTAAGTTTTTAACTAATAAAACTATAATAAAATAAATGTAAGCACTTTGTAGTACAAAGAGGGTTAAACTTTCACCACTTAGATGTCTCCTTTCTGCTTTTCCCCAAATCGTCAACTCTACAATTATACTTTTCTTTAGTAGCAGAAAACAAGACAGAGACACACTGCAGGAAACCCAGCTCTTCGCCCTACCATTCTACACATTCTAAGTCCTCACATTCACCGTAACTCTTGATTTCCTGTTAGCACTGAACTCTTACTCTCCTGCACATCTTTCCTCCTGCTGCTACACTCTGCTCTCCTGACTACTTTTTCTCCAAAGTACTATCAACCCAGTCTGTGGGGTCCAGCAGACTTTTACTGAAAGTCTGGGTGATGGAGATACACTGTATCTCGGCAAACCACTCAAAACAAAATATTATACATCCAAGTTCCTCTGCAGTTCCCAACACAGAAGATGGCCTGGTATCTAATTTTCATCCTAGAGTCTCCCCGCCTCCCACAATATGACTAAGCTCTTTCCCTCATTTTCTTTCTGTATCTGAAAGGTCCTTTTCCAAAGCCATATTCCAATTTCTTTCTTAATTAATTACTTTGGTCTAAACATTTTGGGGTATCTGGACTATTTCCATAAGAGGTATTCTATCTTGCTTCTGAGCCAAAGCACTGAAACCAGAGTCTGCTTTAAAAAAATTTTAATTATCATAGAATAAACTTGACCTTTTTTTGGTGTATAAGTCTATGAATTCAAACACATGTAACTACCACCACAATCAAGATACAGAACAGTCCCATCACCCCAAAAATGGTCTTCATGCTATTCCTTATAGTCACACCCTCTCCTCATCCTTAACGCCTGACAACCAACAATCTGTTTTCTCTCACTATAGTTTTGGGTTTTTTATACAGTCATGTAAATGGAATCATATAGTGTCTAACCCTTTGAAACTGGATTGTTTTACTCATAATGCCTCTGAGATTCAACTAAGTGGTTGCATGTATCAACAGTTTGTTCCTTTTACTGGTGAGGAGTATTCCACTGTATAATGGATGAACTACAGAGCACTGTTCCCAGGTTTTAGTGATTATAAATAGAGATGCAATGAACATCATATACAGCTTATAATATGACAGTAAGTTTTCCTAACACTGGAGTAAATACCCAGGTATGAGATTGCTAGATCGTATGGTAAATATATATTTATAAAAAAAAAAAAAAAAAAAAACCCTGCCAAATCATTTTCCAGAAAGGCTGCATCATTTTGCATTAACACCAGCAATTAATGAGAGTTCCAGTTGCTCTGCATCATTGTCAACACTTGCTATTATCAGTACTTAATTTTACCCATTCTAACAAGTATAATGGTAGTTCATCATGGTTTTAATTTGCATTTCCCTTGTGGCTAAAGATGTCAAACATATTTTCATGTGCTTATTTGCCATTTATCCTTTTTGGATAAATGTCTGTTAGAAGTTCTTGCCAATTTTTAAAATTAAATGTTTATTTCACTATTGTTGAGTTG